GAGGCTTTATCACCATGTGGTGGCATTGTCCTATAAAACACATGGCTACACGGACTTAGTCTGAGAATGTAAGGCCTTTTCCAAGTAAATTCATGTTGCCGTTACTTTTTTTTATACCTTATATAAACAAAGTAACTGTAATGTGAATTGACGTGTCCAGGGTGCATAGGTAGCTATCCTGCACCTCGATTTACTGTGGCTTTAATGGACTTTATTTGCATCAATACTCAATAAGAAATGCATACGGGAACCTGTTATCTTCAGTTGTAGCAGTGTCTGTCATGGCTTGGAGTTGCTGAAACCATTCGCTTTTTTTTCATCTGTAAAATCTACCCCAATCAGCAGCTCAAGCAAAATGAACTGGATTTCAAATGAGACAATCAAGTATCTTTAAGAACAACAATAACAAAAAAAGAATCAGCAGCAATGCCCTATGTCAGCATTTGATGCAATATAAGCAACACAATGTGATGTGACATAACTCAAGCAATGTAATATGACATGACACCACAAGTAAGCACAAAAACTCCCCCTATATTTTTAGCTGAGATGCTCATTATCTTCCAATGTCTGATCTGAATGTTTTGTGATGGACTTAAGTGGAGTGAATGCTGTTACAATTTGGCTGATGTCATGAGTTTAATGACGATCTGGATTCAGCCAATTTTCTGGCAGGCATCTAAAATCCTGCGTCCTTTCAAATCAGTCCTTTAAAAAGATGACAGCCAGTACCCAACAGCATTCGCCTAAACTGCAGCAGTTACAACAGTGATATCTTGGGATCGCAACCTAGTATGCTGTTATAGGAAGGATATTATGGCAAGAAAGCTAAGGATCAACTCAGGAAACCTTGATTAGGAGCAGTCATTCTTATCTGGTAAGTAGTCACGATAAAATAATGTTCCTTATATAAATAGAAAAAGGACAAATCTATCAAGGAACAAAATGTCATTTTGATTGTCCGTCATGTTTGGGTAAGGAATGGTTTACGCACTACCAGATACTAATAAATTATCTCTCTACACAGAGTGGGCAGTTCCACATAACAGTTTATTGTGGATTTGGTGATACTCATACATGCAGGTTTTGTGCAGTGCCCAATGTCCTCATGTCACCCCATATTCCTTTCTCCATTTCATCTAGATTTACAATTTCCTCAGAAAATCCAGTAAGTAAAAAAAAACTTAACAAAAACCCAGAGGAATGGCAGATTGTGGGGTGATAATTTGATAATATCCTGACACTGAACTGTTGAATACACAATAAACACTAAACTCCATGACAGACATTAGCAAGGATTTTTGATAGGTGGGCAGGACAATCCGTCTGTCAATCGTACAGAATCATAGTGACATTATGTGATTGGCTGGTGGGTTGTCCCAACCAGCCCACCAAGTAATGATCCGATCCTTGGAACCACAAAGGTCCCTCACCCCTGCCATATATGTCTACTCAGAAGAAATCCCCATGAGATTGGATCCAGGATTGGAGGAGAGGGAGAGCTGGCTGTCAGTCCAAGGGGGCTAGACACAGATGTATGTTGTCCAAAGCAGGCAAGGGTCAAGTTCCAGAGCAACAAACAAGACTGGAGAGTCAGAACTCTTGGAGATGCCCCATATGAGAGACACGTTGCTCATCAATTCCTAAGGCTAGAGCTATACTGTATTATAGAGCCTGGGTAGTCCAGGATTGGCTGTTGGGGTCAACTGAATAGTGCTGAGTCATGCCAGCATTGCAGCCTAGATGGCTCCTTCAATGCACAGAGCTCAATCTGTGTCAGGAACATAAACCTGTGTCAGGTTTTCAGTAAAAACACAGCACTGGTCCTGTAGGACGACAATGGCCACCAAGAGCCCTTCCTTGAGACCTTAGAGCACTTTATAAATGAATGGTGTGTGTAAGGAGCATAGCTCTCAACGTTTCCCCTTTTTTAAGGGAAATTCCCTTATTCCGAATAGGATTCCTCACAAGAAAAGGGAAAAGTTGACAGCTGTGGTAAGGAGGGAGGACTGATATATTGTAAATCTATTTGCACTCGCACGCACACACACACTACATTTCCCTGTAGGAAATTGTGGGCTTCTCACTAAAATAATTCATGGAATAAAATATAATTGTTTGTGTGTGTGTGTTCTACATAACTAAAGGGATATGCCGAAGTGTGGTGCTTTCACTGTTCTTTGCAGGAACATAGAACAACCACACATTTATATGGGAACAAAAACACCATGCATACAGTGCCACCATTTAGAATATACTGTGAGGACTATACCGGCTCGCAGCTAGCGAGGGCACCAATGTCTGGACTTAACGCCAGCCTTTCTGCATAAGGCAGCTGTCGAATGTACCCCTAGTGCTGAGCTGTGGACCTTGGCATGGCAAGTGCCCAGTCACACTGACCCCTGATATTGACCCAAACCTGCCCTGTCCGCTGTATGCCTCTGATGGACTGGGCCCCGACTACAAAAGCTCATGCCACAATCAACTTCTCAAGTCTCCGAGGTCCCACCAGAATCTCTGCTCTTCCTGCAATGTCCAGTAGTATCTGGCGTGAAGTGCTATCTCAGCTTTCAGGTTGCATCAGCGTTATGTCCAGCAGATCCCGGCATGTAGTGCTTGCTCAGCCCTCAGCTCATATCAGCATAAACACTTCATCACAGCTGACACACTGATATGCTAAATGAGTATTGTCGGTGCACAAAGAGGTCACCGGAGAAGTTAACAAAAAGGAGATCACAAGAGACACATTTGCAGACCTGGAAAGGTGCAGGACTCGTGGGATAAGGCAGCCCCTTAAAAAAAAAAATGCAAACCCTCTGCTTTGTAATTCCTGCACTTCTTTATTTTTTTAAAGCCCTGACAGTTGAGTTCTAAACAGTTAAATATGAAACTGTCAACAAGGGCCTGTCTTAATAACCAAACTTGAGGCCTTTTATCCTGGAAGATTTATGAAGTAATTTTAAAGAGGCCCAAGCAAACATCTGTCAATAAATTGAATGCCGGCTACAGGATTTACAAGCAAGACAAGAATTTCTCATTAAGTGCACATTAGCACTGTGGGGATCATAAATAGTAAGAGGCCAGGATGCTGAGCCTCTCAAGCTGTCATTAAAACACTATCTAAGAACTAATGAGGAAGTGATGGAAGGGTACTAATGATCCCTCAGGCTCCTTTCATTCGGCGGTGAAAAGGAGAGCGTGCAATACAACATCTCAGCCTGCCACAGCTGAAGCCTTCATCACGCAGCGGAAAGGTTGCAGGGAGCAGCGTCACAGGAATCACGACACGAGGCAGATTCTCCAGTCACAGGCCGCTTCCCAACTACAGCGGGAGCGATCAGTGGCAGCTGGAGAAGCAAGGGAGAGGAGGGAAGGAACCGCCAGAGCAAAAGCATTGGGCAGAGAAGGATGGGGAGCACCATATCCTTACTTGGTGCCATTAGGAGGAAGGTTTAGCATGGGCAACACCAGATAAGGGTGATAATGTTGTTGGCCAAGACAGATACTGGCATACCCTCCAACTGTCCTGATTTTCCAGGGACAGTCCCATAATTATAGAAGCCATCCTGGCTTCTGATTTGATCCTGGAATGTCCCACTTTTCCTTTTGACATCCCTGTTTTAATTGGGGAAATGTTGGAGGGGTGGAATAGGATGTCCCTATTTTCACCTGAGAAATGTTGGAGGGCATACAGTGGCAGTGTCCCACTTTACAGTCATCTGTTTGAAGGCTGTGTCAGAGAGCAGCCCTCTCTTGAAAGGGCAGTTCACTCCACGCCCAGTTAAAAAGAAGGAGGAAAATGGCAGAGAGTAGAATTGCCCATCAGCTGTCATATGGCCCCCAGAAGGTTGCCTAGAATAAAAAGTGGCCCTCAGGCTGAAATGGCTTGTGGCCATGTTACATGAAGAATGGTCTCCCTCCATAGATACCTGCCTGTCCCCTTCTCTGGGTGCCCTTGCCAAAGGTGAGGGGAGAGGCTTCATCAGGCAAGGCCTCCTTCCACCTGTTTTGCCCCACCCTCCAGTCTCTGCTTCTCCATTTGTATTGTATTATTTTATGCACTGTGGCTTGCCGTTGTTTTATTGATTGTAGTTTCGAAATTATTTATTGTAATTGTTAAGAGTGAGTTTCTGTTTCATTTTTATATGCTGATATTATTATTCTGTACTGTTCTAATGATTGTTGAATGTTACTTTATTTGATGTAGATTGCTTATTTTAAAGCTGTTTTATTATCACATTTTTGTATTGCATTAGATTGTTATAAGGTGTACATTCTTTGTTTCTTCAGCTTGTAAACCGCCTTGAGTATTTTAAGATAGAAAGGCGGTATACAAATTAAAAATGACGATGATGATGATGAAAGGAGATGAGGGCAACTGACCACTGAAAGAGCCTTTTCACTGACAACATCCCAGTTGCTGAATACCCTCCCCAGAAAGTTTCATCTAGCACTGAGGTTGTAGCCATTTTGGTGAATACCTTTTTATTTTTCCAGGATTTCCAGTTTTAAAAGCACGCTTTAGTGCTTTGTAAACTGTTGGCATTACTGTTCTCTCTGTTGCTGGTTGCAATTTGGTTTCATTCTGACACTGTTGTAAATTCCTCCCTTGATTTTATGTCGGTGTTGTATTTTATATTTTTATAGTGTGTGGGTGGTTTTAAACCTGCGCGCTGACCAGAGAACTCTTTGTTAATGGGCAGTATAAAAACGTTGCAAAAAATTACAAATATATTATAGCACAGAACAGGCTACCTGGGCAGTCATAAGTCCACCTGTTTTTTAAGCTGCTCAACGATATGATGCACATAGTTCTATCTAAAAGCACAAGAAATAAGATCCTTTGTCCCCTCCCCCTTCACCCCAATTTGCCTTTTTGTATTCTATTCCCTCATTAAGTTAAGGCAGGGCCTGGCCTAATATCAGGCAGAATAAGGTGGCTACATGAAAGGGCAGAAAATTCTCAGTCATTTAATTTATTATCATGGAATTTTTTTATTGTCACGGGTGAGAAGGGCTTCTGGATTTTCTGCCTTGAGTACAAAAACAACTAAATTTATTATTATATATATTTATACTGTGCCTTTTCCCCTGATGGGACTCAAGGTGGCTTACGGATAAAATTAACTTAGCAGCTGCACACCATTGGCACTGACCTGCAACAGGGCCTTTTCAGTAGCAGCTCCTCATTTGTGGAAGAATGTATTTAACTGTTTTTATATTTTTTTTGTTTTTACTCTATCACAGTGACATCTGCTGCCTTGGGCTCCTTGGGAGGAAGGGTGGGGTATAAAATGAATAAATAAAATAGAAATGACAAGGTAGGGCCACCATTTGCAACAAAATGCTTTGGGCTGGCCCTGAGTTCAGGCTGCAAGGCAAAATTCTGTTTTCACTTGCAATTTCATTTCATTAGAGGCTTGCAGCCTTAAAGACGCATCAATGTTTTGTCATTCTCACACGTCATTTGTTGCCAGAGGCTACACGCCACCACACTGTGGGGACCGCATGGTCTTGAAGCCTCTGCGCTTGTTCAGCGTGGAACACAAATGAACTGTGGTTTTAAATAGGACTACTCATGTGCATAGTGATGTATGGAAGTGAGAGCTGGACCATAAAGAAGGCTGATCACCAAAGAATTGATGTTTTTGAATTATGGTGTTGGAGGAGACTCTTGAGAGTCCCATGGACTGCAAGAAGATCAAACCTATCCATTCTTAAGGAAATCAGCCCTGAGTACTCACTGGAAGGACAGATCCTGAAGCTGAGACTCCAATACTTTAGCCACCTCATGAGAAGAGAAGACTTCCTGGAAAAGACCCTGATGTTGCACAAGGAGAAGGGGACGACAGAGGACGAGATGGTTGGACAGTGTTCTCGAAGCTACCAGCATGAGTTTGACCAAACTGCGGGAGGCAGTGGAAGACAGGAGTGCCTGGCGTGCTCTGATCCATGGGGTCACGAAGAGTCGGAGATGACTAAATGACTAAACAACAACACCACTCATGTGCAAAGGGGCATTTGTGGGTTGGACAAAATTACAGGAGGCAGTTTGGTGAGAAAGGTTTAAAATTCACCAGAATAAAGAGATGGTGACATGGGACATAATAGTTATCGCTGAAGACACTGATACTAATCCATGCAAGAGAGTCCATGGAAGTGTTGCTGACTGCAGTTTCAAAATGATATTCTGATTTGTCAGAACCATATATTCTGCGTATGTTTTTGTGCTTAATGAAATTTGGCAGGAACCGTACTTCAAAGCCGACTTCTTAATGACTTTGTTTCTCGAAGAACACCACCGTCACTAACCTATTTATGTCAATAATAATAATTATTATACCTAAGTAGCTTCAGTGCATTGGCACTGAAGCCAAAGATGCTGTAATATCTTTTTTCCAACTCCCATCTCTCCCTAACAGATGCATTTTAAACCTCTACTAGTGACATTAATAAATATACCTTTCTCAGATTTCTGTCTACAAGGAAGTGTAAATCATTGTAATTAAAGTGCCAATAATGTGCCCATTTAAAAAAATTAATGTTATATTATTATATGAGTTATCAACAAGTTATTACCCACTTCCCAAACTGACTCTAAAAGATTATAGCTAAAACATTTAAACATGCAACCTCTTAGATGAGGTTATCTATAAACGTTAATGGTCTTTAATTTGTACTTAATTTATACTTCTCCTCACAGAAAATGGCCTTCTGAAGAATTAAACCTTGGCTCCACCAGTAAAAGCTAGTAACGACGGTATACATTTTAGAACTTTTGCCATTAACCTTAACATTATACTGTTGCTGAATCTCCTTTTATTTCCCTAAATCAAGAGGAACTTCAGTGACTTTGGCATAGCTACATGCGAAAAAGTGGAAGTTCAAATATAAACCCCCTTTCAAGATACATATATTTAAAAATCTATTATAAAACATCAACAACTTTTCTGTCAGGGGAAAAACTCCCCAAAGAATCCTGGGAGTCACAGTTTCTCAAAGGTAAAATTCCCAGAGTTTCCTGGGGAAAGGGATTGCCTGTTAAACCTCTAGGAGATGAAAAGGCCAACGAGCAAACTCTACCCAAATCGGGAGCGGAGTCCCTAAGACAGCTGGATGATGCCTTGTGCGCCTCCTTCCAGCAACTCCTGCAGCCAAGCTGGTGGTAATGTATTGCTCTGCTATCCTCTGGGCCATATTAGCGAGACCGAGAGGGGAGGCTCTTATCTGGGCAGCCCATACACCAGCTTGCACCCCAGGGAGGTCACTTTGGAGCTACTAACACAGTGGTTTGACTTCACCCCCAGAAGCATACTCCATTGTCTCTCAAGACAGCAACAGTTTATATACTGCTTAATCACTGGAATGTCTAAGTGGTGCACAAAGAAACCTTTCAAAACATACAATGACTAAAATCAATTAAAATGAATCATAGAAAAAGAGAAGTTCCCTAAAATGCCTGCTTGAATAGTTATCAAGTTCTGGAAGTTCAACAGGGAGGTGGGCCTGTCTAGCCTCAGCTGGGAAGGGGTTCTACAGAATCAAGCCCACAATACTGAATGCCACTCGCTCAAAATATACCTGAAGGAGCGTCTCCACCCAGTGGTGGAGGAAGGGGGGTGCGGTAGGGGTGGGTAGCCCCGGGCGTCACCATTGAGGGGGGTGACAAACTGAAAAAAATAAGTATTTTAAAAATAAACTTATTGAAGCTCCTCTCCAAGAGGAGAGCCCCGGGTGCCACCCTCCTTATCTTGGGACCTTTGCCCCGCCCCCAACCCAGCTGGCCAATTGGCTGCGGCCAGGGCAAAGGCAAGGAAAGGGCTGATGCTGTCGAGGCTGATTTCCCGATGCTGCCAAGACCAACTTCCTTAGCCCCTCCCATCACATGCCAAGGAAATAAACAACTATCTGACTTTTAGAAGACATCTGAAGGCAGCCCTGTTTAGGGAAGTTTTTAATGTCTGATGTTTTATTGTGTTTTTAATATTCTGTTGGGAGCTGCCCAGAGTGGCTGGGGAAACCCAGCCAGATGGTGGGGTATACTTTTTTAAAAATTATTATTATTATTATTATTATTATTATTATTATTATTATTATTATTATACCAAGGGGCTAGACCAATTCCCTAAGAGGAAAGGTTGTAACTTTTTGGTTTTGGAAGTGGAAATAAGATGAGGAAGTGGAGACATAATAGAGGTACATATACACAATTATGCATGCTGGCTGCAGAGAAAGTGGATAATTTTTTCTCCTGTAGTACTATTACCCCATAATACTGGAAGCCAGTCATCCCATTAAGCTGGAAGCTGGAAGATTCAGGACAGACAACGAGTGGGCCTTTTTCATGCGATGCATAGTTAAAATGATGGAATCCACTAACCAAAAAGGGAGTGGGGTCCAAAGTGGGACAAAAAGGCATTTGATAAGACAACAGGGCTTCTACTGCATACCACCCCCCCCAAAAAAAAATACATCTGGGGTTGGGAGACCTGTAAAGCAAATCTGGGGTATGCACAGGGGACTGGAAGGTGGAGGAGAGAAATTGGAAGTCCCATGGTGCAAGTGGATTTCCACTGTACAAGTAAATGGACGTCACCTAAGATGCAGTGAGGGCTACCAACTTAGATGGCTTTAAAAGGGCATCAGACAAATTAATGGAGGATCAATGGCTATTAGTCAGCATAGCCGTATATTACTTCCAGCATCACAGACACCATGCCTCTGAATACAAATTGCTGAGTAATAACAGCTGGAGAAGCCTCTTTGTCTTCATATACTGCCAGTGAGCTTCCCATAGGCATCTGGTTGGGAGCAGTATTCTAGGTCAAAAGGACCTCTAGCAGGGCTCTTTTGATCTACAGTCTTATAACCTGTTTAAGGATATCTCCTGGTCCAAGACTAAACCCACAGTCTATCATCGGGGATGCTCAGTCTAGCTGCTTCCTGCTGTAATTTTTAGATCACTCTTCCCTGCTTTGTTTGGTCTCTCTCTCTCTCTCTCTCTCTCTCTCTCTCTCTCTCTCTCTCTCTCTAATGTCTTTCCCAGAGCTTCTGCAATAACAATGATATAAAAAAAATTACTATGTGGCCTTTAAGGAGCTTAATGCAAAGACCTTCGGTGTGCGCAGTTGTTCTGCTTTTAACTTATTTCTGCAAAGCAGGTATTTTTGAAACCAAGAATTAGAGAAAGTGGCCTCGGGCTAAATTGCAGGGAGTCCCAAATGAGTGTACCCTTTGAGGAGAGAATCAGTGAAGAAGAAAATGAAGATGACAAGGCTGTTGCTTCTTAATAAACATTATCACATTTCCAGCGTGTATTATTTATTACTTTTCTTTCACTGATTTATGTTCTAAAGCATTTAATCTAATATGTATATCTATATACATATATTTCATTCCGGCTCCCACCCCCTTTAACAAATCTCGCCTTAAAGCTCCTTCTGCGCTTTAGTGCAGCCAAATAAAAATGTTAATTTCGGCAATTTTCTTCCTCCCCCCCCCCTTCCTCATTTCCAGTAAGTCACAGAAATATGATTAAATTAGAGGCATGTGATTGAATCGGGTTGTGTTATAAGGTTTTCAAATTAAAACAGAGCACCAGATTGAGATCCAACATATTTGTTTGGGCTGATGTAAGTAACACTGCAGTCATAAGCACACTTATCTCCTGGGAGTAAGTCCCTTGAGAGGACTGAACAGGACTTACTTTTAAGTAAACATGCAGAGGATCAGTCTGCACATTTGCTTACAATTTATTTTCATACACTCCCTTTCCTCCAAACTGTCTGTATAGTCAAGAGCACCATTTTGGTAGAAACAAACACAAAGAAGGGAAGGTATTCAATCTCTCACATGGAAATAATGGCATTTTAAAATGTTCAGCCTTGGGTGAAATTTGGCTGGCATGCCTTTCATTAAATTTCATTAATTGGTATTAATTTGGTAAAATATACATTTTGCCGAGACCTTAACATCCGCTCCTTCTAAGACACTGAGAAAGAGATAGAGGCAACGTACAATTTAATAAACAAAACCTGCCACCACCTGTTAGGAAGAAAGGTCATATTTCATATGCCCTTTTTCATTTCCTTTGACAATATCACAGGAGAGCCAAAAGCGCCTCAAAAAGAAAACAGGTGTGCTCTGAACTCCTGGCCCCGCTGATTAAAATTTGCCTTCTCTGCATAGAATTGGCAACTACTGATTAATCAACTAATGCACTGGTTGATTAATCTACCAATTAAATGTATTAAAGCTTGCAGCCCTGGTCAATTGATGAGCTTGAATGGAGCAGTGAGAATGAAATGTCAATAAGGAAAGATGGGAGTACATCGTTAGGGCAGACGAGGAAAGAGTTTTAACTCCAAGGAGCAGAAGCTTAAGTACTGATAGAGAAAGCAAATCTTTCCTGATCAAAGAGAGCGTTTGAGGACTGGGACATTTGCAGGGAAACCAAAATGCTTGTTTACAAAGCTATTGCACTACCAACCTTACTGTATGCTTGTGAAACATGGACCACTTATAAATGCCATCTCCAACTCCTCGAAAGATTCCATCAACGGTTTCTCAAAAAAAAATTACACATCACTTGGGAAGACAGGTGAACTAATGTGTCGAAGTGTCAAACCAGTGGTGAAGTGATGATTCTTCAACACCAACTTCGTTGGACTAGTCATGTTGTGTGGATGCCTGATTATCGTCTTCCAAAGCAGCTACTCTATTCTGAACTTAAAAATGGAAAGCATTATGCCGGTGGTCAACAAAAGAGGTTCAAAGACTCTCTCAAGGCAAATCTTTAAAAATGTAGTATAAACACCAGCAACACTGGCC